GTTCCAACCTACCAGCCAATCCACCAGAGAAAGATGTGGCAGTTTGCTTCTGTAAAGATTTACAGCCTTGGAACATGGCGCTATAGTCAGAAGCACCACGCTGTCCCTCTGCAGCAAAGATCAGAAAAACTAAGTCAAACAGAGTCACACGTCAATCCTGAAACCCTAAGCATCAAATGAAGAGATAAAGAACTCAGCCAAGCACCAAATGGAATAAGAAACTGACTGAGAACCGAGAGCAAGGAGAGATACATGCAGAGATCCCGTATCAGCTACCACAGCACAGATCTACCATCTTGGACTCCTATCAGAGATCAGCAACGGGGTACGAGAAAGCAGTTTCACGGTGCTTCCAGCAGGAGACAGAACAACCAGTAACCAGTGATATAGGCTTTCCCACCCCCACCCTTCTTCACCCCCCACTTAGCCTCCTCTGCTTCCTGCAGACACAGTCTTTTGGCCAGGAAGCACCAGCTTCACCCCGGTGTTGCCTGGAATCCACCTGCCCGCACTGGCCGGCTCCCTGAGCGCCTTTTGTTGGCTGCTGGTGTTGCTTTTTTCTGCTGCTTTAGATTGCTTCCTTACCTCTCACCACTTCCCCCTCTTTTCTCTCAAATGCCTGGCTCCGTGCGCCATCTTTGCTTCTTCCTGAAAGGCTGTGAAACACCGCTCGACTGTGAAACTGCTTCCTGGCCTGTGCTGCCACGCTGGTGGGACCCCGGGGGCTTTTTTGTTTGTTTGTTTGCTCTGATTGATTTGTTCTGTTTTAATCTGTTTTCTTTTTCTTCTCTCAGCTTGGGAGCCCCTTGTAGCCAGGCAGTACCACACAGCTTGGAAGCTACTCCCTTACTTTGTGCAGACGCACAGGGACATCCCTGGGGGTGTTTCTTTTTTCTTTTTTGGTTTTTTTTTTTGTTTGTTTGTCTTATTTTCTTCTCTCTCTTATTCCTTTTTTGTCTTTCTTCATTTTCAGTCTCTCGATTTATTCATTTTTTTCTTTTACCCTTTTTCTTTTTTTTTTTCATTTTTGTTTTTCCCCATTTCTCAGTCTCTCATCTCTCCACTCAAATAACAAGCTCCCTTAGCACTCTTTTTCGTTTGTGTGTGTTTTTGGCTCCTGTTCCTCTCTCCTCTCTCTTGTCTTTCCCACACCCGTCTTAGCTCCACACATTACAATCTACCCCCTCCTTCCTGCCTACCTGCACACTCCCAAGCAGCGCACGCACAGCCTACTGGAACCTGCCCTGCACTGATTCCCAGTCCACACTGTCAGCTCTGGTACTTGCCACAAACAACCCATCCCAGCAACTCCCCTTCAGCTGGACCTGCCCTGCTGTACCATACCTGAGTGACTGACCCTGCCCATTGCAGAAGGAGGTGAAAAGTATCGTGCCCACAGACAAGCAAACAACAAAGAACGCACGACCCGCCTGCTCAGACACAGCCAAATAAAACAAAAAAGCAGGATGAAACAAACAAATCTACAATCAATAAACGAGGAAAATAACCACTGAATGCCCTAAAGACAGCAGACAATATCAAAACGTTTACAAAAACAGGACAGGATGGTTCCAGTAGGCATCCAAAATAAAATACCAGATGACCTTCCAGTAGAAGAAAAGGGAATTCAAGAAAAAGGGAATTCAAATCTCTAATATTCAGAATTATCCAAGAGTTGAAGCAAAAATCAGACAAAAATGAGGAAAACATAGACAAATTCATGGAAAAGGCAGACAAATTCATGGAAAATACAGGCAAAAAAATGGAATAATTCAAGAAAATAATACAGGAACAAAATGCTAAAATAAATTCACAGCTAGAAATCATACAAGAACAACAATTAGAAATCCAAAAGATAAACAACAAGATTTCAGAAATGGACAGTGTCACAGAAGGGCTGAGGAGCAGGTTTGAAACTATGGAAGATAGGATCAGCGAAATTGAAGACAAACACTTGGATACAACTCTGTTTGAGGAAGAAACACTGAGAAGTATGTGGGATACAATCAAAAGCAAAAATCTGCAAGTGATCGGAGTTCCAGAACAGGGGGAGAAAACAGAAAACACAGAGAGGATCATTGAAGAATTGCTGACAGAAAACTTCCCCAATATCATGAAAGATGAAAAGCTGACCATCCAAGAAGCTCAGCGAACCCCATATA